GGGGGGACTGGGGTGGGAAGGACCAGGGGAACTGGGGTGTTGGGCACTGGGGGCACTGGGGGAACTTGGGTGGGAAGGGCTGGGGGCACTGGAGGAACTGGGGTGGGAAGGGCTGGGGGGACTGGGATAGGGGGCACTGGGGGAACTGGGGTGGGAAGTGCTGGTGGCAGTGCAGGGGGACGGGGGTGGCTAGGGGTGAGGGGAGATCTGTGGTGAGCGGGGGGTGAGGGAGGGCCCTGTGAGGAGCTGGGCTGGCAGCTGCAGTGGGGAGGGAGTCTGAGGGCCGGGTGGGTCCCCTTCGGCTGTGGGGGGTCTTTTGTATAGAAAACAGAGAAAAAACTGGATATTAAAAAGGAGATGCGGTGCAGTGGGGCAGGTCGGGAGTCCACAGCTCAGTCCCTGGGCCCAGATCAAAGTTACCAACAAGCCAGACCTCCTCGAGGTATCACTGCGGGCTTCCCGCTGGTTCTGTGTCTTGGAAGCAGGGGTTGGTTTGGACAGGCCAACACGTGCTCCATCTTCTCCAATGTTTCCTTCTAACAGGGCCCTGCTCCAGCAGCAGGGACCGAGGCTCAGGCTGGGGCACAGTGTGGGGAAGCCCTGGCACCCATGTTCCCCCGTCCACCCCAGCCCCTCCTCGGCCTCTGGATCCTCACCCCACTGCTTTGTTTCTTTGTGGGATAATGTTAACACAGGCCTGCGGGATTCATTCTGGCACGCAAAGTCCTGGAGTGCCTTTGGCAAAAGGTGCTAAATATGTGAAATTTCCAGCCGTGCCTTTACACATTCTCTTCCTCTGTGCAGTTCGGTGGTCCCAAGCCCCCTGGCAGGAAGGTAATGCTGCATGTGGAGGCCCAAACAAACGGTCCACGGCGTGAAGCTGGTGGTGCTTTAGATGGATGCCGAGGCCGTGATCCCCTGCGTGTCACCTTCTCAGTATGTGGCACAACACGGGATCGGGACGAGCTCCCTTCACCTCCCTCAAGCGCAAACCACCCTGTATCAGGCTTCCCTGAACAGGGGGATCGAAAACTGCCTGAGTCAACCTGCGCAAATCCCCTTTGAGGGAGAGAGCAGCTGTCTGTTAGGGCTGATACGGTTAATATTATGTTCAAACGAACCATCTGGCCGCATTTGAATTATTTTTTATGGTAGCTTATAGCGTTATACAGTGGATAACTGCTTCTAACCATTTCACTTCCCGGTGTAGACTGATTCACAGCGTGCAATGCAAAACACCGTGTTTCCCCGAAGACTTCCCTGTGGGAAAATAGCTGCGAAATTACCTGTGAATATTCATCCTCCCGATAAACCCGAGGAGGAAAAAACCTAGCAAAGATATTCCTCCTTTATATACATTCTTCCTTTATATGCATTCTCCTGTATATACACCCCTGAGCTAATCCCTGTGCGTGTTTTACACCTGGCTCTTCCAGCGTATTAGAAATCTGGGAGATGGAATTTGACCAAAAACTGCTCCTTTCCCCCTGCAGCACGTGCTCGAATCCCACTTTTATATTATTCACGCGTTCAAAGGAATAAAAATTAAATAAAACGAGCCAAAAAAGGAGGCGGAGTAAAGGGTTCATTGAAAGAGGAACACAGCTGGGGGGGCGGGGGCCTCCCCGCAGGCTCCGCCCCCCGCGGACCCCGCCTCCCCAGGCCCCG